GTAAGAAAATGGAGTGGGCTAGTGTTGGGGGGTGTAAATGTAAAATGCTACCCTATTTAATGCATAGGGTAGCATTTTATATATATATATAGATTAAGTGTAAATTTTACATTAAAACTCATATACTTAATTTTTACAATGAAAATGTACAAAAAAAAAAAAATTAATAGAGACTGGAGGAAGACATTAATTGAGGGCTAATTTGCTACGATTGCCAGGTTAAAAGGGATTATATGCTTGTTTTCTGGCTTGAGGGCTTACACCTAGGGATAGCAATTCTCTTCGATGACTCCATAGTCCATAGCGAAAGAGAAAATAGCTTTATAAAATTTTATGAAGAATTTTTTCTATGTTATTTCTTGTGATATAATAAAAAAATAAATTATTAAATTCAATCAAATTTAAATATTTAATTTATAGTCATAGATTACACATATTACTAATTCTTAATTTTACTACCATAGAAATTGATTTCCCATGAATAATGGAAATGGGAGACTTATTCCACTTCTTGTCAAAAATCTCCATAAGGATTCTCATTTCTTCATTTCCGCGAGTCGCTAGGATAGGGATGGAAAAGCACTCTCTGACCCCGCAAGGCCCCATTGTCTTCCCTACTTACACGCGAAAATGGGATTACTTTGGGGGCGTGGCATATGGTTTTGCCTTTAATAATTGGACCATGAAAAAAGATGGGATTTAAAAGTGGAATTTCGGGCTTTAAACCATAATGCAGATTTACCAGGGCAATTGGTGGCAAAAAAAAAACAAGGAAAAAGAAAAAGAAAAAGAAAAAGGAAATTTACCGAGGCAAGGAGATTGCTAAGAAGAGGCAAAACTTGTATTGACGAGGTGGGGTAAACGTTAAGAGTCGGACCATTTCTGAAATTGCATAAATGATTTAGCCCTTGCTTGAAAATGGTTACATTGTTGAACCAGGATGCAAACGTTGCAAAAAAATAAGAAATAATAAAAAAAAAAGGGGAAATTTATCCAAACGATCGCCAAATCCTTCCTTCCAATGAAACCACCATAACAGAAACATCATCATGATATTTACGTCGATCTCCATGAGGAACATCAAGTAGTTGATGAAAATCCATCCCTGCAAAATTCAACAAAATGCCACATTTCAAATGTGCACAAATGTATTTCCACTTGAGGAGGAATATTCAAAGCCAACCACATCAATTTACAGTAGTCATGGGTAATGAATTTCATTGGAAGAGGACCAAAAATGAGATTAAGGATTAAGGAGACAGCGCATACGGTCTACTTACCATTCTTTTTGGCAGCACGGAAGAGAAGCTCTGCGATGAGGTATTGTGCAGGATCACCTCCAGGAACATTTTCCATGAACCACGTAACATGGGCAACAACCTCTTCATTGCTGAAGTACTGATAAAGCCCATCAGATGATAGTACCAAGAATCGGTCACTTGAGGAGAGTCGGTGGTGACAAACAGAAGGGATGCAGCTAACATAAGGAGCAGTTCCCACATAATTGATGCGAAACATCTCTAACAAAGCTTCGTTAAAACTTGGCTGCACCAAGAGGAATTAACAAGACATTTATCAATTCTACATCCAAGAAATAGCGTTAAAAGTTAAAACATCAACGTTTTGCAACAAATTGGATGGAAGGTTAACATCCTTTTACACCATGCTTGGTCTCACCTAATTCATAACAAAAAGTCTATGTTTATCCCCATTTCTCTAAAGCATCTGCACTCTCATAACCCTATCTAATATTTTCCATCTTTTCTATTCAAAATCATTTATCAAATGATGACGAGAGATAGACATATTACTGATTTTCAAAGAAAAATTGAAGAAGAGACATGTTATGAATTGGGAAGAATCAAACTTCTTGAGGGAGATACAAGATGGAGAAGCAATTAAATGCCAAAAATATTTAAAAATTAGGACATAATTTATACTCATACTTCTAGCCAAACAAGTGCACAGATACTTCATTCCAGCCAGCATTAGTTTAATTACATTTTTCATCCTTAATTGCATCTAAAGTAGCATTTATGTAGAAACAATGAAGTACATATGGTTTCCTGAAATTAAACAACTGAAGCAAAAATAATTTAAGAAAAATACAAATATCAACTAAAGTTGACAATGTAAGAATGCTTCCACATATCAAAGTACCAAA